ATTTATAATTAAATGTTATTGTTTTATTGCCCTTTGAACCATGTCTAACTGCTATCCACACCATTGTAAGTTGCAAATCACTTTGGTAACGTGCAGTCCATGTTACGCTAATGAATTACATTACCCAAAAGCTGCTTGCATGTGTGTTTCGTAAAACCTTTTTATTCTAATATTATTATTATTAGTTATTTTACCTAATCTAATCTTAACAAACCTAAAAGGATCCCTATGTTTACATTTTAGTTACTTTCATAATTATACATAAAAGATAAACATAAGAAACAAGAAATAAAATACTCAATCAATCTTCTTTTTCTTGGTGTCAGTTTTCGAAGAGAGTTAACCCTAATTTTTTATACTAATGACAGTAAAGCACTTATTTTTATTTAATTAAATAATGCACCAAAGAATATAGACTAATAACATGCAAAAATAAGACAAATTCCCTTATCTGTAAAAACTTTCCTGGTTTTTCTAACTATGCGACCAAAGCCGTTACAAATTCATCCAAGCTAGTGGTTAACTTTCTCACAGAAACAATGTTGGTACTCTGAGTGAAATTGACATTAACTGTTCAGAACATAATGTTATACAATACGTCATTTGATAGATGAAAACCTTGACTTTCTATTGGTTATAGGTAATATATAATGAAACGTAAAGGGAACTATCAATGAATTATGAAAGAGAGGATGTGACAGGTGGGTGTGGCAGGAGGGGTCTGATTTTCTATTCAATAGCTCTGTAACCAAACAAAACTGAAAACTATAAAAATTATGGTTTGTCTTAGCAATAACGATTTTATAGAGAGTAATTTACATTAAATTTCATACTTTTTCAAGGGGTAATGGATAGATTAGGGATGATGACATGTTAAGAGAAAATGTGTCACGTGGGTGACACTAGTGGAAATTAAGGATTTTTTTTATATTGCCTTGTAGAATTAAGAACTTAAAACTTGTATACTATTAAAATATGGATTATTAGCTAAGATTTTATACTACTCTAATTGGTATAACATAAACAAAAAGTAGTTTAATAAAATTTTTAACGTGAGACACTAAAACCTTGTGTCATGCGCAATAAAAGATACCTGTGGTGATAGGGATAAATAGATAACTGATTCACTTACTATTGGAATTGGAAGGAGAAAAACTAGATTCTAAAATCTATTTTCAAATTATGCAAATGCTGAATAATAATGTTATGCGCCTCATCTGAAAGTTTTTTTCTCAGATTCTTCAAGAAAAGCAATGAGTGTTGGTAATGGCTTGTAATTACCATTTTGAATACAATGAGCCCATGATCAAAGTTTTTTTATTATAGCTTCTATTTTCTATTCAACCTTAAATATAGTTATGGCTGCCCCTTGAAGGCTTAAATTTAGTCCATTCAAATGAGTAAATATGTCAGATGAACAGGCCACAACAGTCAGCCAAGAAAATTCATTGAAGAGTTCACTCAAGTGAAACTTCTTCTCACTTAAAAATAGGCATATTCCATAATACAGTTCAAACACATGACTGAGAACTTTGCCACGAGACAACTGGCGCACGTCCTAACGAGATAACAGCCACACGTCCTAACGAGATAACCAGCGCACATCCTAACGAGATAACCGGCACGCATCCTAACGAGATAACCGGCACGCATCCTAACGAGATAACCGGCACGCATCCTAACGAGATAACCGGTACGCATCCTAACGAGATAACCGGCACACGTCCTAACGAGATAACCGGCACACGTCCTAACGAGATAACCGGCACACGTCCTAACGAGATAACCGGCACACGTCCTAACGAGATAACCGGCACACGTCCTAAAGAGATAACCGGCACACGTCCTAAAGAGATAACCGACACACATCCTAAAGAGATAACCAACACACATCCTAACGAGATAACCAGCACACATCCTAACGAGATAACAGGCACACATCCTAACGAGATAACAGGCACACATCCTAACGAGATAACAGGCACACATCCTAACGAGATAACCAGCACACATCCTAACGAGATAACCAGCACACATCCTAACGAGATAACCAGCACACATCCTAATGAGATAACTGGTACACATCCTAAAGAGATAACTGCCACACATCCTAATGAGGTAACCCGGCACACATCCTAATGAGATAACCCGGCACACATCCATCCGAATGCAAGAGAAGATGTTTATGTTCACTTCCCATCTCGTCACAAAGAAAATTAAACATTAAAGATGCAGGAATTTAGTGGACGAGCTTTTATAAATGGACAACTTTTAATACTTCGTTCATTATTGTCTTTAGCTTTCCATTTTTCTTACAGCCAATGCTTCTCTGTGTATCCAACAAGTCCACGTTACTGTAGGCACCACAGTCTTAACACACACAAGGAGTCCTGACATTGCACGAGCTCCATCTGAACTTATTCCTACACATTTTGACCATTCAATTTCATTTGTTGCTAAAAAGGTGTCCAGACTGATAATTATAGCCTCAGATTCGTTGGCAAAGAGTGACAAAATAAGAGATCTTCATAAATTTTTCCACTGAATTTGTACCAAATGAATGCAAGCAATTCAGCATGATTAGCAATGTTTGTACTTTCATCGAACTGCAGAGAATAATACTGGCTTTGGCGTACTCTTGTAATTAACTGACATTTAATATTACCTGCCATTTTTTCAATTCTACGTTTAATGGTGTTGATTGATAGTGAAATCAAATCTAGGTCTTTTGCTGCTTTATTTCCATGCATTGCACCTGACATTACTTTTGCTGCTTTATTTCCATGCATTGCACCTAACATTACTTTTGCAGCTTTATTTCCATGCATTGCACCTGACATTACTTTTGCAGCTTTATTTCCATGCATTGCACCTGACATTACTTTTGCTGCTTTATTTCCATGCATTGCACCT